TTATTATTATTATTATACTATATCTTTTATGGATGATGTTAAGGATTTATAATAATAATTGTCTGAATTTTTTCAGGTTCCTGAAGAAAATAAACTTAGATTCAGGAATATAATACGACCAGATTGATAATTGAAAAAATTATGAGTGTATAAAATTTAAAATCCAACTTCTCTAAAAACACATACAGGATACACCATGTGCCAGGAACATATTTGCATAGGTAATTCTGTAATAATTATGTATATATGCATAGACTTGTATCATAAATCTGGTAACAAGATATAGATGTTAGATTTTATAGTTGGATGTTATTTAATTATTGTGACGATAGTTTTCCAATTTATATTTATTTCACTTATTAAAGGTACATATATACAGATTTATATATATTTTTATAGCATATATCTCTTATTTTATATTTCAGATTAATTACCCGCTTAGACCTTTGAGTAACTTCGGGCAAGTGTTTAATGCAAGCACATAATGTCAATAAATTCGCCGAATGGTGCAAAATTATTTGTATTGCCGTACAATTATAAAAACTGGAAATGTTTAACTTTTTTTCCACTTTGTAATCTGCCCTCTTATATATATATATATAGAGAGAGATGCAGTCCTATATACATTATATATATTGGAAAAAAGCTATTGTTTAATATAAATTTATACATACAGGTACCTATCAAAAGAAGTAGAATAGTTAGTCAACCGCGATTCATACGACAACAAAAAACTTCAGGTCTCGTAGAAAAAAGAAGAGATAGTATGCTACATATAATTGTGAAAGTATTTCATATATTTTTCTTGTACGAGTGTCCATCTTTCGTTCGTAAAATACGAGCCATGTGCGCGGTATTCTAAAAAAAAATTTAAATGACCTAATCGAGCTTGATAAATAAAATAAAACTGAGGCATGCAAGAAAAATGCACAATTTAGATATTGTATAGTTACCAAGATAGAAAAGCTTTACAACTAGCAAGCATTGTGTAGCTTGTTCCTATGTAATTATTCAATATTTTAGTTTATATATCTGGAATCTTGCTTTAAGAACTGATTAATATTAATAATATAT